GTGGAGAGCGAATGTTTTGAGAATGATAAGGTAACGAATGTACAAATGTGCTTGACACGATGGATGGATTGTGATAAGAGTTGTACGAGCCTCCAATAAAAGGATTAAAAACCCTCGTGGGAGCAGGTCTACATTGTCCTGTAGGGCTGCTATGAGGGGCCATCGACTGTTCTTTTGAACAACCAGACGATGCTACGTGTACAAGAACTCGGAGCATGTTTGTAATAAGTGAATCTTGAGGGTTATAAAAGTCGAGAGCCAGGTAAGCGGGCCGAGTATCGCCAGATCTCTGCCTGAGTCTTTGGGTTTGAATCCAGAACACCCAGGAGTCTGCAATGGAGAGAATGGAGCACTTACTTCCACCTCCCCCAGGAAGGCCTGTCTTGGGGTGACTGTAGTTGAGACGGGCGACAGCCACTCTCCCCTTGAGAAGGCCCGGAGGCAGTGCCTGGGTTGAAGAGCACACCGGTCAGTGCTTCCCCTCATGCGTTTGCGTGCCTGACCGTGGTTTCCTTTCTCGATGCAGGTACATGGCCCCCGAAGTCCTTGATGAGACCCTCAATATGAAACACTTTGACTCCTTCAAGTGTGCTGACATATATGCCCTGGGGCTCGTCTACTGGGAGATCGCTCGGAGATGCAACTCCGGAGGTACCTTTCTGCCTCGCCGTCTCTCCTCTGCCCACCCCTCCCTTCTGTTCCCACCCGCCATGGTGCCTGGTGCCCAGTTCAGGCACGTTAAAGCTACGCCCCGGGGACCAACTGTGTGGGCTTGGCCTCTGCCAGCAGGAGCCCATCCGAGCACACCTGTTCCCGGAGAACCTTGCGCCTTGAGGCTCTGCCCTCCTGGTGGTCGTTTCTCAACTGACTGGAGAGAGCTTAGTAGTGGGTAGCATTCTTGTAAACTAGTTGGTATTTGCAAATGTTTAGCCATGTCAGAATCTGTCAAAGGCAAGATCAGATCTCGCAGACAAACTGCCTTCCCCAGGGGAGTCAGAACATGTGCCTTTTGCAGGGCCCCACCAGGAGCATCCTCTGCTGCACAAACCACTTCTAGACTCTGCTCCTCCATGTGACCCTGCCCGCGGCCCGGTGTCTCGGCAGCACGCTAGCTACGCCCACTAGATCCCATTTGGTGTGTAAAAGGTGGCCTGGGGCGCATCGGTTAGAGCCCTCAGCTGCTAACTGGAATGTCCATGATGGGAACCCACTGCTGCTCTGTGGAAGAAACTGTCAGTCTGCTTC